ATTATATTACATATTATTATAACATAGATTAAAATAATGTCCATTAGTACGTTGGTTAATTATTATAATCTATACAAAATATGTGTAGACAAATAGTAATATATTATATTAAAATACTAATGTAGGTACTTACTGCATGTSTGGTGTGTATAATTTGTTTTAAAAAAAAAAAACTTTTGGTTTAATATCAAAATAAATAGTTCCTGTATAAATCTTTGAGATTTGCGCGATACTGGCAATTGGCTTACGGATTCCGTCGTCAATACARATACAGATTTCAGATTGCTATTTACGATTTTCATCAATGAATACATTTTCAAAACGTTCGCCATTATAAACAAATTGGAGCGTATTGATATGTATAATTACACAGAGCTTCCAGGCTTTATAATAATGTTATACACAACAAAAAAACAATGTACATTCTTTTTTCTTTTTAATTGAAGATTAAGGCTTCGACATCGTGAATTATTTGCTACTCATTGAATTTTACATATTATATTACCTAAAAATTAAGTGTTACATTGTAGAATGTTTGGAAGAGCTTGCTCTAAATTAGTGTTGTGATTGTATTCTATACAAGACGTACATTACCCCCCCCCCAAATCTGAATTTTGAAATTTTTTGGCGCCAATTATTAGTACTCAATTTCTGTAAATTCCTAAACAGCTTTTTATAATTCCTGCTTTGATAGATTTCTCGGAAAATCGATTTTTCCCTGGTTGAAAATTTAAGAATTTTGTAAATTCAAAAAATTTGATGTCAACGTAGTATAGAAAAAAATATAAGTATTGAAGTATGACTAATAATTCAAACGATATTATARGTTTTTTTATTTTTATAATTATTAAATYTACCTAATGAATTATCAGTGGTAGACTTACATGGACCATAATTTAATATTTATAGCCTAAAATTTCAATTCTAAAAAAATAATTGTGACTAGGTAGGCACTGATCAAATTTTATTTCTGTAAGAAAAACTTATGAGGAACCTTGCATAACATTTTCAAGCTATTTTATCCATAAAAA